TTTTTTTTTTTTTTTTTTTTTTTTTAAATTTTTTTTTCGCTTTTTGGTAAAAAAAAAAAAAAAAAAAAAAAATCCAGTTTCTCCTGCCTTCCCTCCGCCCTTCACACTGTCCCCACCACACTTCAGCAGGGTGACCTTCAAGAGTCCAGGGGCGCTGCTTGCACTTCCACAGCGAGAAGCTTGTCCCCATGCTGCCCTTGATCCCAGGGTCGGATGAAAGGAGGATAGACCACGCGCACCGAGGAAGAACCTGGCTTCCATGGTATGCAGTGGGGGAGCAGCTTCTCCGGGCTCCCAGGCTGTGGCCTGAAGGAACCGAAGCCATAGTGGCCTATGAGGCTGATGGAGAGCAGCAAGATGCAAAGGGCCAGCACCGTCAAGATGCTCTGCCTACTCTCCAGGTACCTATAGCGATAGCTGGCCTCTTTAGTCCTGGCATTCACACAGGCCACCTTGGTCTGCAAGTCTACAAACACCACATGAAGGCAGGCCCAGTATTCAGTGTCCTGGTGGAGCCGGGTGATGTTGTATGTGTGGGTGCCTGCAGGGATCCGAGCTACGTTGGTGAGGTCCACGCTGGAGCTGAAAGCAAAGCTGGACCAGGTGAGGTTGGAGGAGACGGTGTTGAGATGCGGCTTCCACGTCACCAGGATGTGATAGGCCTGAACTTCCTTCACCAGGAGCTCCAGGCTGTCCTCGCTGACAGGGAAGGAGCTGTTGACCGTCAGCCTGATGGTCTTTGTGTCGGCACCGATGAGGTTGTGGGCCACACACGTGTACAACCCAGCCTCCCGTGCAGTGATCTGGTGAATCTCCAGAGTCCCTTCAGGGTGCACTGTGAACCGCCCATCTTCGGAGTAGGGGATCAACTTGACCCCCGATGGCGTGACCCAGTAGATCTCTGGCTCGGGTTCGGCCAGGGCCCTGCAGTGCAGTGAGATGTTCTCACTGTCTGCCACCTCCACGCGGGAGGGGAGGCTCCTGGCGGAGATGAGGGGTAGGCACCGGTCGGTCATTTCCCGGAAGGGCACGTCCCGGATGTGCCTCCTCTGCAGGTCTGGGGGCTCGGCGCACAGCGTGGACTGCGGCTCGATGAAGCGGATGTGGTTCTCGGTGCTGTTGACCCAGCGGATGACACAGTCGCAGCGGATGGGGTTGCTGTGGATGCTGATCTCCTGCAGGTTGGGTAGGGACTCTACTGTCTGCTTATGCAAGGCACTTAGGGCGTTGTTGTTGAGCATGAGGGTTTCCATTTGGGGGAGGTGGTGGAAAGCACTGGGGTGGACGAAGGACAGCTTGGGGTTGTTGGTCACATCCAGCTTGGTCAGCTCCGGGAGGTTGATCAAGGCAAACTTGTCTATGGAAACCAGCTCCTCCATGTTGTTCAGTCCCAGCTCCTTTAGGTGCAGCATGTTGGTGAAGTCACTCTGCTTAATCCTCTGGAGCGGGTTTTTATTCAGGTCCAGGAATTTAAGGCCGGGGACTTGCTGCAGTGCCCGTTTGGGGACATTCATCAGCTTGTTGTCATAGAAAGACAAGCTCTCCAAGCTTCTCAGGCCCTCCAGGGCATAATCTGAGATCTCCCTCAGGTTCATCCCAGCCAGAACCAAGCTCCTCAGGTTCGACAGCGGCCTGAAGTTCATATCCAAGATGGCATCCACCTTGTTGCCCCCGATCATAAGGATCTCTAGGCTGGGGAGCATCTGGAACCAGCGGCTGTCGACCGTCCTCAGCAGATTCGAGTTCAGGTGGAGTCGAAGGAGGTTACTGAGCCCCGAGAAGGCCCTAGGGGAAATCCTGTGCAGCTGGTTGTGGTTCAGGTACAGCTCCTGGAGGTTGGCCAGGCCAGAGAAACTGTTATCGGGCAACTCGGCCAGCTGGTTCTCTTCCAGGTGGAGGCTCAGCAGCTGGGGCATGTTCTTCAGGCCGAAGTCCCAGACGCTGGAGAAGCTATTCTGCGACAGGTCCAGCTCGGTGAGATTTTTCAGATAGTCCAGCTCACTCTGGTCGATCCTTGCGATGTTGTTGCTTTGCAAGAGCAGGGTCTGGGTCCCCTCTGGCAAGCTCTCAGGCACCGTGGAGATGAACAAGTCATTGCAGTCCACCGTGGTCGCCTCCCTGTAGGCGGACCGGGGGGTGTACCATGGCCTGATCTGGCAGATGCACTGCAGCGGGCATTTGACCTTCCAGGGCACGATGGGGATGGCTGCAACAGTTGCCACACAGAGGAAAAGCAAGTTCATTTGAAAGTGTCTCATTTTTAATGGGCAAGACCAAGCTCCTCCCAAGATGAAAACATTCATTGGGCACATCCAGAACTGGGCATGGGGAGACGGCGTGGTGGAAGCAGAGCAAACAAGAAAAACCCACGCCCCACTAGGCCCTCTACCCTTCACAGTGTGCTCCCAGGGTGCTACTGTCCCCGTGCAAGGCGGCCCAGCCTGGCCTTCCCAGTGGAAGAGGTCATAATACGCTGGGCAGCGTGTGGGCCTCTAGTCAAAGCTTCTCCTCTTTCTCCTCCCGAAGCCAATCATTTTGGCACGTGGCTGCATTTTTGGGGTTCCTCCTCAAGGTCATTCCTGAAAGAGACCAAACAAGGGTGTGTGAGAGGAGAATCGTGCAAAGGGCAAACAGGTGAGATGGGGGGAAAGGCTGATGGAGAGAACAAGGGGAAGGCTGGCGTCGTGCTTGAAGCACCAAGCAGGGCAGATCTGGGCTGAGCTCTTGGCTCTGCTGCAGGCTATATGTGGGACTCTGGAAATACTGTGTCATCTCTGCACCTCCTCCTTTCTATACAAGGGGTCTGGATTCATACTTCTCCTCTCCCATCCTTTGTCTATCTTGTCTGTCCAGGCTGTTCCTTGAGGCTGGGCCTATCTCTTGCTATGTGAATGTGTGATGTCCTGATCTCAACAGCATCTTCTAGACGCTGCTGTCATACAAATGCCGATCATCCCTTTCTTTACTGAGCTCCATTAAAAAACAGAGAAGAGTCTGAATGAAGACCTTGGAAATCAGCATCCTCAATTTTCATAGTTTCATAGTTTCTAGGGTCGGAAGGGACCTGAGCAGATCATCTAGTCTGACCCCCTGCCATGGCAGGAAGAGCACTGGGGTCAAATGACCCCAGTAAGGTGGTCATCCAACCTCCTCTGAAAAACCCCCAGGGTGGGAGCCTGCACCACCCCACTTGGAAGCTGGTTCCAGACCCTAGTCGCCCTGACCGTGAAGTAGCGCCTCCTGATGTCCAACTTAAACCTTCCCTCCGCCAGCTTGTGACCATTGTTCCTGGTCACTCCTTGCGGCGCTCGGGAGAACAGGGACTCCCCCAGCGCCTGCTGATCCCCCCTAACCAGTTTATAACAGGCCACAAGATCCCCCCTCAGCCTTCTCTTTTGAAGGCTGAACAGGTTCAGGTCCCGCAACCTTTCCTCATAGGACCTACCCTGCTGTCCCTTGATCATACGAGTGGCCCTCCTCTGGACCCTCTCGATGCTGTCCACATCCCTCTTAAAGTGCGGCGCCCAGAACTGGACGCAGTACTCCAGCTGCGGCCTGACCAGTGCCGCATAGAGGGGGAGGATCACCTCCTTGGACCTGCTCGAGATGCATCTGTGGATGCACGACAAGGTGCAGTTGGCCTTCCTAGCTGCCTCCCCACATTGCCGACTCATGTTCATCTTGGAGTCAATAATGACTCCCAGATCCTTTTCCACCTCCGTGCTGACAAGAGGGGAGTTCCCCAGCCTGTATGTATGGTGCCGATTGTTCCTCCCCAGGTGCATCACCTTACACTTGTCTGTGTTAAACCCCATCCTGTTCTCCTCCGCCCATCCTTGTAACCTATCTAGGTCTAACTGTAGCCTGTTGCTCCCCTCAATTGTGCCCACTTCCCCCCACATCTTAGTGTCATCAGCAAACTTGAACAGGGTGCTTTGCACCCCCTCATCCAAATCACTGATGAAGATGTTGAACAGTGCAGGCCCAAGGACCGAGCCCTGTGGGACCCCACTTCCCACGTCCTTCCAGGTCCAGAAGGACCCATCCACTACCACCCTCTGGGTGCGACTCTCTAGCCAGTTGGCGACCCATTGGACTGTGTGGGTGTCTACGCCACAGTCCCCCAGCTTCCTAATGAGAATGGGGTGAGAGACAGTGTCAAAAGCCTTCCTGAAGTCTAGGAAAACTATATCCACTGCCACCCCTGCATCCAATTTTAGTGTCTCAGGGCCTGTTCCAAGCGTTGGGATGGGTCCCTTAGCCGACCCAGGCCTCTGGATCTCCACGTTCCCTGGACTTTGAGCATGTTCAGGCCTAAATACCAGGCATCTTGTCTTGGACCCATCTCTGCTAATGTAAATGGCTAATGTTACAGCTACGGAGGAAAGCAGCTTAGATTCACTCTTGTTAGTCAGGGCAGAATGTAACCGTGGTGTAACAGGGTATTTGGAGGAAAAAAAACAATATGACAAGGCTGTTGGAAGGGGATTTTGACTTGGAGGCATAGGCCAACTAATTGGGTCAAGGAGAAATGTGTCCCCAAGGGAAATTATCCCATAACTGTTCCCTGCAAAACTTCATGCACCTTCCTTTGAAAGAGCTGCTGTTGGAGCATGGGCAAGGGCACGTTGCTAGGCCAGCTGGGTCTCCGGCCACATCCAGGCAGGCCAGTAGCTCCAGCAGGTCTTTATAAAGGGCTGAAAGAATCAACATGTCTGTGGACTGAGCCGGGAACCAAGGGACGGCGATGCGTGAGCACTGGGGCACAATGGGGTGTGGGGGCTTTATGGGGACTGAATCCTACATCCAAGCAAGCATCTGCTGGTGTGACCCCAAAGCAGGAAGAAAGCTTTCAAAGAGTGATAAAAAACCCTGCCATCCATTCCCTCTATCCAGAGGGACAAAATGAAGGGGGGTGGGGGGGCAGCTAGATGTAAACTCAGGAAGCGCCTCATTTGCTGAAGAGGAAGATCATGGCAAATGCATGACTTGCACACTTTCAGACAGCAGCCTGCAGGCAATCCTTCAGACGCTCCACGGTCAAGTGTGACTAATGCATGGTGCTGCCCAGGGGGGCACTCTAATCAGAGAGGCCTCCTGGGGGGGGCGAGACATATCTTGACTGAAAAGCCTTGTTGCCCCTTGATTACCCGCCCCCCTGGCATCACCATCGCTGTGATTATTGTGGGGCCCTGCAAGGCTCCCCGTGGAAAGGAGATGAGGGGAATGAGTCAGACCGTGATTGCCCCTTGCCATCGGAAAGATGGTAATTGCTAGTGGTAACGGTGCAGCGGGGGCTCTGACGCACCAGCTGTTTTCTGTTCTAAATACAGGGGGAGAGTGCAGATCTTTCTGGGGGGAAAAGATCAGACAGATTCAGCGCTGGGGGAAACCACTGTTTGCTCACTGATCTCAGTCCAGTCTTCTTAACCTAACACAAGCCATGCCAGACTGGGTAAGACCATGGGTTAATCATCCCTGGAGCCCGTGTCTCTGTGGGGCTCAGAGTGGATGCTAAGGGGAAGAGTATTCAAGCAGGGCCTAGGCAGACGGATCTGTCCCCTGTTCCCTCTCCCCCTGCAGCTTCTCGCATTCAGAGGCCTGGAAAGTCCTAATGTGGAGGCTGCACGTCTAATGATCATGTTTAATCCCCACTGATGGACCTGTCCTCCACAGATTTGTCCAACTGGTTAAATTACCAGCCTCTGCCAGGTAGCTAATGTTGGGAGAGTGGATATATTGAAAATTCCCCTATATGTCCTAAACCTCCAGATTGCTTTCATTTCCCCCATCTGACTCAGAGAAAGGAGGCTTAACTGGAGGGTTGCAGACCCAGGAGACTTGTGAGGACCACAGACATTACAGGCATGTAAATCATATGCCAAGAACTTTATGCCAACCAAGAAAATTGCCTTCCATGAGCATGCCTTGCTTCTTCAGCTCCCCTTCCAAGGCGTCCCAATAGGGCTCACCCTGCTGAGTCCAAAGGCATGGTTTTAACCAAGGCCCTTGAAGTCCAAGAGCTTGCGTCTCAACCACTTGGGCTCTTGTTTCTCATAATGGAGCCCAGGCTCTACTTCTCACACCTTTCCCTCTTGGTAATTTATGCTGCTTACTCTTTGCCACTGACTTTTGTATGGGTGGCTGCTATGGGAGGAGAGGATGCCAGAAAGGGATGAGGGGTTACAGTAGGACTCAGTGCTTCTGTGCTGTTGTGTTCCCTTACGGCCAAACCCAGGAGGGAAAGGTGTCAGGTGGCAAACACAGGGAGGAGTAGAGGAGGCTGTTTCAGCATGAGGCTCTCAAGCCTCTTTACAGGGGGCTCAGGTGTCTGTGGGAGCAGGTGACAATGAACTGGGCTTGATTTTCAACTTTTATTCCCCCCCCCACCCCGTTGGATACCTCAATCCTAAGCACCATATAGTAATGGATGCAGAAACAAATAGTAGATTATAACCAAACTCACGGCAAGCAAATGAGACCTGTAGGAAACAAGAGCAGAGGGGGGCAAGAGCTGGACTCTGTAACCTGCCCCTCTACTTGCCAAAAGAGCAGGGCAGCTCTGGGGCATGGGCTTCTCTACAAGGCACTTATATGAGCACAAAAACACCATTTCTGAAATTCATCTTATGGTACATAGGCTCTCTCTGCCCCCATACAGACTCATGTGCGCCTCATCGGCCCAGTCCATCATTGACTTTGCACCCATCACATCCTCCTGTGCATTTATACCACTTAGCCAAGTACCTCACAGATTTATTAAGACTAAATGAAGGCTTATACAATCAATCCTTAGTTTTCCCTTCTATTGCCTACCCCAAGGCTGAGTTAGGATTGCCTCAGCTTTAGTTAACTCCTCTTCATTGTGTACACAGGCAAGGCTTTTTTTTTTTTTTTTTTTTTTTTAAAAAAAAAGGGAA